TATATTAACGACGAATTTATTAATATTTCACAACATTCAAAATAAATTTTATAAAATTTAACGTGTCTGTTCGCTGTCGCTGGCCGGCTCACATTGATACACAATTGGATCTGTTTATCCGACGAAGTAAATGACGCAAACGTCACACATTTCAGATGTACGGTGTCGTTACTAAGACGCTATCTCATATTTAGAACCTATCTCATAATCGGTACCTTTACCCTATATATATATATATATATTGTATATACATATATATGAAGATGACTATAATAATCTCCGTTTCTGTTCTATTGCCGCGCGTTTGCAATATATTATTCTACACGACCGTTCACAACCGAACCTGAATTTGCAAACTATTTCTGCAATCTAACGCCCGCGTTCCCAGTAACTCGCATAATTCGGCCGATACTATTTCCAGCATTTGCATAGGCCAGATACGTTATGAAGCGAGTCGCATCGCGCGCGTGTCGAAACAAGAATCGATATCCAATAACTTAATTCCGTTTCAGTTTATTTTTTTGGAACTTAACTACGGAAATCACGTTCTCGTATGGTTAAATTAAAGAAAATCTTCATTCTTATTATATTTGTTAGACCGACTTATTACTTCATTACCAATATTCAGCTTGAATGAGGAAAATCGGCGCATAAAGGGTAACATTTTTAGGGAATATTTTTTTTCACACTTCTTTCTCATCTAAATATATAAGAATTCTCGAAGTAAAATCGATTCGCGCGCGTAAAGAGAGTATGTCAGGAAGGCCTTCGGTCTTCGTAAGGGAATACATTTACCTTATATAACATGGGAAATTGGCAGGAGGTATTTCCTAATATCGAACGCGCGTCCTCCCTGGAAAAGAATGTCGGTGTGACATCACAGGGAGAAAGCGAGAAGAGAAGAGAGAAAAAGAAAGAGGAAAGTAGAGATAAAAAAGAGAGAAAGAGGGGGTGTGCTTTAACTCGCCAAAAATCTCGCCGAAACAAAGGATCGTGGGACAGGACGGAGGTCCTTGATTTCCTCTCCACACTTTTTCGATTAGGAAAGTCGTATCACTGGCGTTTATGAAGTGCGCATTTTTTACGAGACTTCGATCGTGCCGTGACTTGAATCGTTTCTATTCGTACGATGAGGTAAAGTCAAGTGTGAAAATGAAGCGAATCAAAAAGTGACGCGTGACTCTATTATAAATGAATGATACACATGTCTAATATTATTTTGCTCCGTTTTGCTAAAATTATTTTTTGAAATAAGAAATATTTAAAAAACTCTTAATAAGTCAAAATTATTTCACTAACAATAAGTTAAAAGATAATTGAATGACAGAAGATGGAATGTCAAATATTGCCGTATATAATATTTAAAATATAATATTTAATTTATATAATATTTAAAATATAAGAATTCTCCGTTAAACTGGAATATACTTATTGTTAGATACTCAATAACATAGTCGTATATTCTGCGATGTTTGTTAAACTATCGTGAAATGTTTGCGCGCTTGCGTGGTGATAAATATTTCTCATATGTACATTCATATGTACATTCCTCTTGGGAGAATATAGTTTACCTGTCATCGCTCTTTTCTAGTGATAAGATCAGTATAAAACAATATACTATTCATTGACACGTACGATACGATATGTAGTAAAATATTAATATAAAAATATTAGAATGTACTGGAAGAACATCTCGAGCGACATTAATAAGACAGAGGAGAAAGTACGATATGTTGATGGAACAGACAAGCTCTTTTCGAATGTGTATCCGTTGACTATTTGATAAACTTTGAAATATATTACGTAAATATGGCAAAGGACGTGCATACATATGGGCTATTTAAGTGGATGTAAAAGTTACATCTATATTGATCCCAAGGGACAATGAAATATTTGTCAATGAAAGTTTCCAAATGTAACCATTTCGAAAAGCCTCGTAAATATACATGGAATAAATGATTTTATTAGATATCTTCAGAGAATTTATAATATTAATTCTAAATTACTCTTGTTTAAATAAACATCGCGAACGCGGGTAAACATTCATCGAGCAGGAATTAAATATCGCTTTTCCATGAAATATTCTGTTCCACTCTGCGTTCTCTTATTGCGCGGCGTTCTCGCAATAATCGATTTAATTAAATTCTCGGTCTACAGTAGTTATCGTCGGAAGTTCGCCGATCGATCCCGTTTACCTGCGAAACTTTAAACGCACACGCGTTATGGCGCAAATATAATTCTGCGCAACGAACTGCTCTATCCGCGATAGACGCGGTGCATTAGGCACACCCCGTGCACGCGCCTCCGATAATGCATGGGGGTGTAAATGTAACGGAGAATTTAAGACAAATATTTGTTTGTCTCATGCCACGCAAACTCTTCGCACTAAGGTTTTACTTAGATAAAGATTAAATTCTTACAAAAATTAATACAATAAGTGAAATCAATGTCTTTTTAGAAAAAAATTAGTACATTATAATTAGCGTAATTTTTGTCAAGAGAAAAGATATAGAATTTTTATTTATCATACATATGATTGAAAGAGTTATATCAAGAGTTGAATAACGTATCTTTTTACTAATATGAAATTAAAAGAGAATATATTTTTATTCTTGAATATTCTTTAGTCTTTTTGTCACAAAGAAGTGCAATTATATCAGATTAAATCGAATATTTCAAACAGAGAAAATAGTTGTATCATTCTTGCTTACATAATTTGCGATCTTAAATACGAGATCCCGATAAATCTAAAGAAGAGTAAATATAACGGAAATTTTAAGATTTAAGAACATTTGTTTATCCTGTAACGTGGTACCCTGTCACAGCGATATTCGATGTGGACTCGAGAGAGCGCACGGGAGACAAGTTGATGGGATGAGTTAAACTTTTAACGAGCTTTCTTCCTTCCTTCTCTCGGTCTTCTTAAAGTTTCTCATGAACGGGCGCAATCCCTGCGTTTCTGTTTCATCGTGTTTCCCGTCGACGAATGCCGAACTTTCTCCTATCGTCCTGCGATGACACAAGTCTACATTTATCCGCGAGCATCCATCCATCATGCCGCGTGAGCTTCTCGGCGCGAAGAGATGCGTGATTTATCTGTTCGATGAATACGTTGGTTAAAATCGCTCGAATGGGAAAAAAACCGGCGGTACCCACGATGGACGTTTGCGTTTGCGTTTCGTTTCTTTGTCCGGAATTAAACGCGATTTTATGGCATTTTTTTATTTTATTTCCAACATTATTAATATCTCGTAACTATCACGTTATTATAGTTTAATTTAATAATTGTGACGAAGACACACATCTGCGCGCATTAAATAATTATATAATATATTTACAATAAAGTGTCGTAATTTCTTAAAGGTGTATATTACGTGTCTTCCTCTTAGGGATAATTTTAATATATTATAAAATAATGTATCGAAATATAATATTGATATTAAAATTTGATTCTGTATCAATTATTGTCATATTCACGCGCGATTATTTTTCTTCGAAGTACAATTGTGCTATAAATCTTTCCATTTCATGTCGTTGAGCATAGCATAGCTTAGAAAGCACTTTGATATTTATTGCGACGTATATGGGACCCATGCAGGGTGTACCACGCATTATAGTCGTATGGCGAGTATAACGAAAAATAATATACGTTCTTCCTCTTTCTCTTTCCCTCTCTGAGCACGCTTCCGGCACGCGGCCGAGATTCCCCGCGATATCGCGAGAACGGCAATTATTTCGTTGGAAGAATTTTCCTGAAACGTTTCCGGAATTTTCGCGCAAAGTTAATGGAATTCGAAGGAGAAAGTTACGAACACGGCCTCGAACACCTGCCGTAATAAGATATTTCGTGTGCGTGCGCGCGCATGTACAGTTGTTAGTGGTGGCATTCCTCTGGAAATAATAATAATTTCACGAAACTTCGCTTTTCTTCCGCAGCATGCGACTGAATAATGTTATTAAATGCACCGAGCTCGCGTGCTCGTGTACAAAACTGAACTGTAAAGGCCACGACAAATGGAGGTTTTCTTCAAGAAATGTTATAGATTCCATTCCCTTTATTTTCCAGATATATTTATACGTATATATTTGGCAGAATACTTAAATAAAATTTATTATAGTATTTATATTAATTAAAACATTTGAGAGAGAGAGAGAGAGAGAGGGAGAATCGCATTTATTTCATTGCAGAAATAATTGTAATTGTAATCATTAATAATGCATTTCATGAATATTTAAAAAGTCTAATTAGGAAAAGAGAAAAAAAATTGAAGGAAATTTTAAGTCTTATTGTTAGTCGAATCTTAATCGATTCAAAGTGTCCCAAAAAAAGTGCAAAAGTTTATGATAAAAATTTTAAAGAGCTTTAAACGCGCAAAAGAGATCAAGTTATACAGCGTCGAAAATAAGAGACTAATAAGAGAGAAAACCACCGTAATCGAGAGACGGTACAGATGCTCGCGGTCACGACCCACTCCCTCGCGTTTCTTCCTCTCCTCAATGTCGCGCATTCGGCGACTTCCCATGCCAGCAACACGTGATATCCTGGAGCTCTCTCTCTCGTCAAAAACCCGCATGCGTGCAATGCATAAGGACGAGCGACGCGCCGCGATTTCTCGAACGCGAGAATAGGATGCGCGGGCCGATCGGCCGATCATGCGCGAGCTTTTCGAACCTACGACCGGCCCGATAGATCGGCGGCCCGTGTGAGAGAGTCAGTCAGTGCAGTCAGCGCAGTCAATGCAGCCGGCGATCCTGTGGACCCTCTCACGGAGCCCGAAAGCGTCGATTCCGTTAGCGGGAAAGTATCGCCGTGAGGGGTGCGTTTCGAAAAGGCACTTTACCGCTCCAGGAGTGGCTGGACTGCTCGGTGGTGGGGATATTATAGCGAGAGAGAGAGCCCGAGAGTGCGAGAAGAGAGGTAGCAGAGGGATGAGATAAGCAGGGGTGAGAGAGAGAGAGAGAGGGGGCAGGTAGATAAAGAGGGTCGTGGGAGTGAGGGAGAGGACGGTCCGGAGGGATGGAGACTGTGAGAGCGTGAGAGGGTAGCGATTGTGCTACAGTCGCACCGCGACACCCCCACGAGCGAAACCGCGCGCGGCAGCCCGCACTTCTCGTATATAGAGCTGTGTACGTGTATATTGTAAAAACGAGTCCGCGGACAGTGCTATGCTTTTGAAGCCGCGATCCGTAAGGTGTCCTTCGTCCTTGTCGTCGTCGGCCTTATCCTCGTTCTTTTCCTTCAAGTGGGAGCACTAGTTTCGCGAGACCCGCAGCGCTTCTAATGTGGTGAGTCTTTTTTCTGGCATAAGTGATCCCAGAAGCTGGATTTTTCTCAACTTTAGAGGATTAATAAGAATACGTAGAATATTATGTTTCATGCCTTAGAAATTGTTTTAATCTTTAAATGAATAAATGATTAAAGACCTGGTATTGAGAAATAAAAATATGAATAAATAAAAGTATAATCTTTAGTGATATATGAATGTTTTTGAATTTAATTTGTTTAAATGGATTTTTTGCGATGCGGGATTATATCAAGCTATTACGTATCGTGAAAGTTAAAAGGTTGGAAATAAGACGGCGTTCGGTCAAATATTTGCTCGGAAAAAATTGACTTTGCTAAATCTGTACTTGAAAAGCAGCGCGCATCCTTTAGAATATCTTATTCGGATTTTGGCAGGATATATTTTAAAGTAGAGGGCTAAGACTTCTACAAGCAAATTTTTCAGAGGATTGTTTTGAAGATGTGATAATATAATTTTTTATCGTAGCTCATCCATGCTTTAACATAAATTTGTCTAATAATTAGGAAATATAATTAAATATTGTGCTTATAATATTGGGAACAAATTACTTTGTTATGTATGTCGGTGCGAAAGCTGATATGTATGTATAAACGTATTTTGAAATAAAACTCGAAAACACACAAGGTGGTGACAGTTCCCTGTTATTTTTTATAGCAATGACAAAACTAGGTGTAAAAATCTGGCTATAAATTTTTTTTAGTACACACTGCATTATGCATCTGCCATCAAAATAGATTTTATATTTCAAAATTTTATTTTTTTTTTCGGGTGATTTATACGATTTTATATGAATGTATTTAATGTTAATATTCTGGATATCTGTTAAATGAACAAAGTGTTCTTAAATATTATTGTTATCTATCGCTCTAAAAATACATTGAGGATAAATTCTAATCAACGGAATTAAATTTTCTTCGCCAATTTTATATATACGTGTGTATATTGAATTTATAAAAAATTTAATTTAATTTATTGGAATTATCTGCAAAAATTTACGGATAGAAATAAATCTTTAAAATAATATATATCATAATACTTTTCACACTTTCTTAATATTAAAAATCGATCTGGACGAGTTTTTTTAATGGCACAATCAAAAGACTAGGATATTGAATGTATTAGCGCAACTCACTATCTTATTAAATTCCTTAGAAAGAAAATAATTTCGTAGAAGATTATGGATAAAATGATTATCGTTATAGCAAGATTCCGCAGTCTTTCTTGCAAGGAAATTAATTTCGCAGACATTTAACCGGTTGGAATTATAAACGATATAGTGCTCAGTATTCCCAAGCCGAGCGTTATATTGGAATAAATAAATTCGTATTCGGCAATAGTCAATTGAGGAGTTACTTTCGGGATCATTTATTGAAACATCAAGTCGTTGAAACATCGTTAGGAACATCGTCAAGGGAGAGACGCGAGCTTTTGCGCGGCGACCTGTTGATGATCTTTCTCCGGCTCGATGCGTTTCAAGAAATGCCCTCGGGAATTACGCGCACGCTTAACCCTTTCCTCACAAGTGTCGTATTCATGATGTCCTATGAATCCTATCTTTCTAAAGATACTAAAGATATTATAAAAATTGATTTTAAAAAATTGCGTTTTTTAATCTCGAAATATATCGGAAGTACGTTTATAGCTTTTAATTGGAGATTAAAGTTTTACAGAATTATACATATAAAAATAAATTACTTTCTTCTTTCGATATTTTCAAAAATTCTATTTAATATATATATATATATATATATTTTTTTTTTTTTTTATATATTATAAATTCTTCTTATCTAATTATTGGTATAATCTCTTTAAATATTGTCTGGGATAACTTTAAATAGAGAAGCCTGTTAAAGATGTGCGGCATCTTGATATTAAATGTCCGATTACAATATGTCCAACTATTGATCATAACGCTCGCTAAAGTTGCAAATGTTTCTTTGACAGTATCGCACTGAATCGTGACAAAAGTTTCATTAGCTCCGCGACCAATAGGACGCTAAAAATAATATTTGTGCAAGGAGAATTTCGTCTTCATTATAAGCGTGTCTAGTAAAAACTTACGAATTTTCTCACTTCAGCTATATTAGATTTTAAGATACTTTGAATCGTTTGCTTTCTTGCGCGAACGTATTTATCGATTTGCATATATGAATATTGATAATAGATTGTAATCAAGTTTGTCAGTTCAAAATATGCACCGAATATTTTTGCGTTGTTTTTGTTATTGTACTTCTCAATTTTTAAGATACAAAACAAAAAGTTCAAATTATTGTTAGATATTAATGATATAAATAAAAAACAATTTAAAAAGATTAAACGCGGTTAAATATGTAATATATTTATCCGTTTTGCATCTTTAAATTTTATATTTATAAAAAGTCAGAAATTGCAAATATATTAATTAATAGAAGTTTATTATCAAACTCAACACATTTCTCTTAAAACATCCCATTTCTTTTCCATCGTTCTTCATTATTTTTTCATTATGACGGTAAAACGGGTTAAAGTGTCGAAGAGCAAAATCGCATGAATTCAGATAAAACTTGAAGCATCACAAATGGATGCAACTGCACCGAATGCACGGATTGCTTTCGATCGCTTTCCGATTTCTTCTATGTAGAAATGTATATATAAGAAACTTTTCTTTTCCTCTCGTTCTACAACACTTTGTTCCGAGCATATGTGTGCCAATGTCTCTCGCGAATTTTGGAGTACTGCCAATGACTTTTGGCTGACTACTAGAACCTGTTGATGACTCTGCAATTCGCGTTTCGTATATTCAATCAAATACATTTTTTGTCAATGGCTTTTTAAGCTTTTCCTTCAACACTATAATTATATATGTATATACACATACATATACACACATTCGCACTCATATCTACAGAATAAATGAGTTATTATAAAATAAATTATGATATAATAAATTATTATAAAATAAATGAGTTATTTCTTTAACATTTTTAATTTCTTATTTTAAAAAAAAGTTAAAAGCGGCGATGGGCGATGGGATTGAAGTATAATTTAATATAATTGAATAAAATTATATACTTATAACTATTTTCGCAAATTATAAAAATAATTATAGCACAGGGTAAAAAAGAAGATAGAAATTTGAGCGTTCTCGTGAATTGAATGTGATGCATGCAACTTTTTCATGAACTCATCAGTCTGCTTTGATTGTACGAGGAAAGTACATTTACATTTCATTCATCTCTCTCACGTTTCTTCTTTTTTCTTTAATTTCTTTATTTTCCCGAGAGAATCCGAGTGAGCTCGTGTTTCTTATTCAGCACATGTTCGCAGTATTTTCAGATCTAATAGGAGCGGAGAGCTCGCGAGAGACATCCCTGGTTCTATCTTTTCGCCGTTTGCCGCTTTTCCAATTTTTCGCGTGCGCGATCCGCGTGCTGATTTCACGCGGTCGTAACTTTTTCGTACGACGGTTTGACCGACGCGGAATATCACGGTGTTTCTCGATTTTAACGCGCCACTGATCGTCTGATCGTTACAAATAGTAACGTAACGTAACGTGCAATCCCAGTCGATCTGTCTGGGAAAATAGTTTTCCGGCGAGCGCAGAAGTGTATCGTTCGCGAAGTCTCTACGGACCGATTATTGCGGCTGTGTTTAATTTCTCAGGAGACAAGCGTAATTGCAAGTGAGTTAGATACCGTTTTCAGGCGCAGGTGTAAACGTCCGGTACATTATTCCCGGTCATAATAGCCCTTCGTTATCCCGCAGTTAAATATTTGTGCTTATTTGCCGCAATAAAAGTTGAAACGGGAGAGATATGAACTGAGATAAAGAAAAATAAGAAAGACGGAAACGCAGAGAGAAAGTTATTGATTAAGTATATTGTCTGTAGAAAATACAGGAAGCAATAAAAGGGAGCAGAATATAACAGATACCAGTTTTTAAGCTTCGCAACTCTCTATAGTGTTCGAAATTAAAACATTCATTGAAAATACGCTCGCGGAACTGAAACGAAGTTATGACTGGTTTTTGTGTTTTGTTGCATGCGCGTGTTGCTTGAATATATATATATATATAATCTTTCGTATAGGGTGGTGCACAGTTTTTTGACCATGCTTAATGAAATTTACTCTATCTGCAGCATCCTAACGAGATGCTCGCGTACTTAATCCGCATGAGAGAAACATTTACATTCTAAAGTACGAATTCATTGTTTCGCGCGTGCGGTTAGTATATTCGCCACTGTTTCACAGACCGCAGCAAGACGGATTCCCTCAAATTTTAACTATTCTTCTTGAGGTGCCCGACAATAATCAAGCCAGCGTCCCTGCACTTTTCCATTTTTTTTTTCGCGACGTAGACCGCTAGCTTCCTAGACTAGGACGTAAAGTCGACGACGAGCTTCTTAATTATTTTTCTTACGACGAGTGCGCGGGCGCACGCCTTAAAGATCCACCGAGCGAGAGACGTTTTTCTTGATGTCCTTTTCATTTGTCTCTCCCTTTCTCTCCCTCTCCTCTTGGCTTACATCTAGTCGGAATTTAATCCCACGCATTTCGTTCTTACCGCGTGACCGACCGCCGAGGACGGGGACGAATGCAAATCGTTAAACACGGCCGTGTAATCCTCTATTTTATTTCTTTTATATCGCTTTTTCACTACATTTCTTTTTCGTCGACGCTAAATAAAGCTTACTAATTTTTAAACGCATTAAATATTTATGGACGTTACTTTTTATTAGAGGAAATAAACTGTCAATATTCAATTATTATCTTCAATTGTGTAATAATGAAGTAATTTAATAACGAAGTAATTTAAGTAAAGTAATCACATTTTCTTGTTTTCGAAACGGTGAATCGAAACACACACAAGTATCGGAATTAAATTAATTATGAAGTATCGTATACAATGTTTAAAAATATTACCGCCGAGATTGAGCTCGCGCGAGCAAGAAAATTCTACTCTGCCAATTAACCTAGAATTCTCAACTCTATCAACCCTTCG